AGCGTATAAAACCTCCATAAGTATAAAGTATAAATAAGTATAATTACTCTAGTTTTCGAGTCCCCTGCTTGGGACAGTTCTGAGGTGTGGCCTTCACTGTCCCCAGAGCTCCCCTCTGGGGTTGAGCCAAAGTGACCCATTGTGACATTATAACTTATAGTAAGAAATATGTATTTGGTCTCTGTCCTCATTTCTGTCGCAGATCTCCTAATGCCCATAGAGTTTGTCTTTTGTTATGTTAATGAGTTGGCTTTTGAAAACCACCTAAGAATGGGGGCTGGTTGCCCTGGGAACCAACCATGTGATTAGAGGGATAGAACTTAAAGCTCCACCTCCTGACCTCTGGGGAGGGGAGAGGGGCTGGAGATTGAGTTCAATGACCAATGGCCAGTGATTTCATCAATCATGCCTATGTAAACGGAGCCTCCATAAAAACCCAAAGGAATGAGGTTTGTAGAGCTTTCTTGGTTGGTGAGCACGTGGAGATTTGGGGAGAGTGTGTTAACTGGAGAGGATATGAATGCTCTGCGCCCTTTACCCATACCCTGCCCCGTGCATCCCTCCCATCTGGCTGTTCCTGAGTTATGGCCTTTTTTAATAAACAGGTAATCCAGTGAGTAAAATGTTTCTCTGAGTTCTGTGAGCTGCTCTAGCAAATTAATGAAATCCAAGGAGGGGGTTGTGGGAACCTCTTGGTTTATAGTGGTGGGCCAGAAGCATAGGTGACAGCCTGGACTTGCCATTGGCATCTGAAGGGGAGCAGAGTTGTAGGACTGAGCACTTAATCTAGGGGATCTGGTCTCTCTCTGGGTAGATAGTGTCAGAATTGAACTGAATTACAGGACACCCAGCTGGTGCCAGAGAATTGCTTGGTGGTGTGGGGGAAACCTCCACACATTGGAATCGGTACTGGAATAATTTTACCTACTCTCTGGGGAACTTGGCTTAATAATGGAGCTTGCATCAGCTTCTTTCCCTCTATCCCCTGTTTCCCCACTTCCCTACTAATTATTCTTGGAAATACTTCCGAGTAAATTGCTTTCCCAGGAATTCTCACTTCAGGGTGTACTTCTGGGAAATCCAACCTAGGACATGCTCCCATTGTGGAACACCAAAGTGGGGCACAGCCCAGCATCTGACACAAACATCTAAGTGTGAGGTGCATGTGGGACTTGCAGTGGAGAACATAGAGGAAGCACCTGGTTCTCTGTGTCTAGATCTCAAGAGTAGATGAGATGACTGGGGCACAAGGGTTAGGTACTGGTTCTTAGTCTCTTTAGGGTCATCGACCCTTTGGAAAAGTTAATGAAGGTTTTTCACATTCACAATTCTAAAGAAAAATTTGCATGAAATTTCAGGAACTTGTCTTAATTTGGGTTCCTCCAAAGGCCGACTCTGGGACAAAGATTTGGATACAAGTGGTTCATCTGGGAGGTGATCTCAGAAAACATGGAGAGGGAGGGGAGAAATGAGCAGGGAAGGAAGAAAGCCAATAAAGATACATTAGTGTGGGACAGGTGGGCAACGGGGTTCAAGTCAGCTGGGGTCCCTCTGAAAAACCCTGTGGAGCACACCCTAGAATGGTCCCACTCACCCAGTAAGGAAGCTGAGGAATTCATCTACCATATCCCATCCCTCATCAGCTGAGGGTCATCCCAGGGGCATTAACTCTCTGGCCATTCTGGTTACCTCGGACCCACTCTTCATCCTGTCCCTACCCCTGCAGGGCCAAGAACAATATGCTCCATGGCCAAAGAACACCCTTGGGCAGAAAGATGCAGGTAGGTACAGTGAGGAACTATCAGAGTGGCCCCAGTGACAAGAGTAAGAGCCCACAGTTAGGACACCAACATCTGCCACGGGACTCATATTCCTGGTTAAGAATTTTTGCCAGAGAGGGCTAAGGAACACCAAGATGGCAGAAGGGGTAACCAGAGAAGAGGAAAAAAAATCTAACCAGGGTGGCATCATGTCAATAGTAGGACGTGATGAAGACACACAGACATCTAGGATGCCCAGATTCCTCCCACCAGGTCTCCACTGGAGACACTGACAACTTACTGCCATCAGTGAGCCAGGTTTGTCTGTTATAACTCTGAACTCCCCAGTTATGACAACTCAAAGACCAAATGGAAAGCTGGGCTTGTCAACTATTGGAGAGCAGCTTGGGAAATTAGGGTACGGCTCCCGGGTGGGGGACAAGACTGAAGGGGATATTTAATCATACTCAAGTTCAGTGATGGATCTGGAAAGTATAGAGAGGAGGCCAAGTCACTTGCCTTTGTGCCACAAGAATGCCTCAATTAAAACACCATTCAGTTAGAAGTGGCAGAAAGAAAAACAAGCCCTTCAGCTATAATTTTGCACTGGGCTTTTTTTCATGTAAATCAAGGGGTGCACATGGCATTTTCTATCAGTCATAAATGTCAAAAGCCCAGAGGTCTGCAGCTGTTGTTCCTTGTTGACCATTTAAACAGTCGATCAAGTTCCTTCCAGAAAACAACGTTCTGAGTCCAAGTTCCAAGTTCAACCACTTGAATTGCTTGCATTGAGTGGAGCCCTGAAGTCTCTACAGCAGCTTCACAAAGGGGGCATTTCCTCAGGTTTGGGCTCTGTTGGTTTTGCTGGTGGTGCTGCGGCTGTTGGGTTTTGAGTTGGCTTGCTCCTTGAAACACCTGCTGCTAACAAATTGTCCTTGGACAAGGGGCTGTCGACCTCAAGGGACAAAATGTAGTGGATAAAAACCTAAAGGAAGGGAAAGAGGAACTCCGTAACCTTGGGATAGTCTGGAAACGAGCAATGCTCACAACAGCACAAGGTGGATATTCAGGGAACCGATGTGTGGTGGCAGCTGCCGCTGATATTCTGAAGGCAAAACCCACCAAGATCATTTCCTAACTCTTCCATGTGGGAGACATGGGAGAGTCTGATACAGCTGATATGTTTATTCATGTTTTCTCTAGATTATAAAACCTTTGAATGCAGAGACTGTAATTCCTACGCTCCTCTGCAATATTCCCCAGTGTTGTCCAAATTACATGGGTGTGTACTCCAGACAACGACGCTGCACCCACACCAGTATGTGTTCTCTAGATGATTCTGTTGATCATTTTGCTAAGATCTGGGTTGGACAGGGAGGGGGAATCACAGGTTGAAATAGAAGGGCAGGGTTCCTGCTGTGCTCTCCTGTCTTTCTACTACTGAGTGATCTTGAATGAATTACTAAATTCCTCTGAGTTACAGTTTCCCCAACCAGAAAATGGAGAAATCACCCCCTGTTTACAAAGGGCTCTGGCAAGACAACTGGAAATATAATCGAAAGTTTATCAAATGAGACCTCTCAACTAGAATAAAAATTAAACCATGACGTTTTGGATAAAACTCAATATTTTGTTAGTCAAATTCCATCAAAATTATCCTTAGGTACATTAACTTAATTTAAGAACTAGTGGCAAATTATATTACTATTTGACACGTTACTGCTCTGCATAATTATTCAATCAGAGCTCCCCTGAAACAAATTAATGCTGATGCAACCTGATTTTTTAAATTTTGAAATAGTTCAAGTACAGAAAAGTATCAAGAATATAATGAACACCCATACACCTACCATCCAACTTTTTTGAAGAATCACATTTCGCCACATTTTCTTAACACATTTTTTTAAGACATAATACTTAGAGATCCAGTTGAAACCCGCCCCCCCGCCCCGTATATCCCTTTCTCTTCCCATTCCTTTTCCTTTTTATCCAGAGGTAAGCACTGAAAACAGAAGTGAGTGGGGCCCTGCATCCCCTGCCCTCAGCCCAATCCTGGTTTCAGCCTTTAGCCATACCAGTGGTACCCAGAACCCACCACAGCTCTCTACTACTTTACTTCAAGGTTTTCCTCAAAACCCTCATGTGCACTGAGCCCTCACAGGCACCTGGAGAAAGTAGAGGGAATTGGTACCCCCAGGAGAAACATCAGCCTATGAGGATGGAGCCTTGTATAAACGCCCTTAGGACAGCCAGTTCCCAGAGGTCCCAGTGGAGTTGAGCCCTTTTCTCTAAAGCAGTGGTTTCATAACACCTCCTGGGCCCTTTTCTCTAAAGCAGTGGTTTCATAACACCTCCTTTCCTGGATTTTCCCCTCTTCTTGTCTCAGTCTCCCTGCTCCTTTACTCCTACTCCTTGGGAAATAAATGCCGCTCAGTAAGTGCCCTGCATGCAAGTCCTAGCTCAGGCTCTGCTGGGGGCAACACCATTGAAGACATGGGTCTCCTGTGAGTTTATCCTGCTCATAGGCAGGTATGGTTCTATCACTGATGTGCTTGCATGCATCCAGAGACAATGTATCGTGTTATTTTACATGTTTTTAAACTCCATATAAATGACATCATACTATACTTACTTTTGGCATTTGTGACTTACTCATTCAGTAGCTTCTCAGCACATGGAAAAGTCACCGGGCACAAAACATGTTTGGTTTCCAAATGTTGAACAACTCTATTACATCCAACTCACCAGACTATATGTTAAATCTTTCTCAATTCATATCATATTAGCGTCTAGTGGTGCTTTTGAACCTGAAAAATCTCAGTACAGAGGTAATTTTCCAATTAGATGCAAATGTTTGTATACACAGAAGACTGAGAAGAATAGTTAGCAAAAGTATTAATTTCCTGGGGTAAAGAATTACCTTATTGCACTGAATCAGGCATTTACCATAATTGTCATGTCTTAATAAATTCTAGTGTTATTGCAGCTCTTTTCCTTCATGATGAGATTTTACATGTGGTCACTCAGATGAGTCTCTCAGCTCTGTGAGAGTCTGAGGTATATGTTTCCCCCACACACTTAGCTCAGTGCCTTGTACATAGTAGGAATTCAGTGAATGAATGAATGAATGAATTGCCATTTTATTTATGAGATTACTGAGGCTCTGGAAGATAAAAATATCAAGCACACGCACCTAGAAACAGAACCCAGATCTAGGAGCCAAAATTTAATTCAGGGCATTTTGACATCTATACAATAACATTATATTATCTTCCATGATTAGTGGTCACAGTAGCACCAGTCCAATACTTTCTTTTGCTCAAGGACCAGTTTACCAAAGCAACAGGATAGGATAATTTCCCTTAACTTGGAATGCTGGCAGAATTCAAAAACATAACCCAGTCTCCATGGGAAAGAAAGTGCTATCTCTCTTTTTTTTTTCTTTTCCAGTTTTTTTATATTGAGATCTAACTTATAGGCAGTAAAATAGAAAGATCACCATTACATGAATTTTTATACTTACTCACCATGAGATTAAGACACAGAATATTTCCAGCTATCCCCAAATCATTCTCATGACCTACCTCAGTCCATTATCCACCCCCACCAACCCTGCTAGATAATTACTGTTCAGACGTCTCTCACTGTAAATGACTTTGAGAGTTCATATAAATGGAATCAGATGGTATGTATTCTTTTGATGTCTAACTTCTTTTGCTACATATTATGTCTATGAGACACATCAATGTTTTATGTATCAGTATTCACCCCCTTTTCATTGCTGCATGGCATTTCATTGTATGAATACACCCCAATTTTCTTACCCATTCTACTGTTGATGTACATGACAGGTTGTTTCCAGCTTGGAGCTTTTACAAAGAAAGTGGCCATGAACATTCTTAATCATGTCTTTTGGAGGACATCAAATCCCATATCTATTGTACATACCGAGAAGTGGATTGCTAGGTCATAGGATTGGCATATAGTTTACTTCAGTAGATGTACTACTTTGGAGAAAGTGAGAAGGGTGCCTCACCTGAAAGGGTGGTGGCTCTGTTCCTGTGCCTAAATGGCTCCTCATTAAAAAACACAGAGTCTTAGATTGGAAGGGACCTGAAAGAGGCAATGACCTGGATTCTCACATGACATCTGAGTCCTTCCCTAGCTCTAGTCATAGCAGACCTCAGCTGGGCCACTTTCAGCAAGCAGAAGTCACTACCTGCAAAGGACTCAGACAGTCCTGCCTCCTTGTGGCTTCCACCTTCTCTACCCTTCAGATCCCCCATTCCTCAAGCACAACCATACGTACTTCTTGGGCTTGGCTCTTCTTTCCTAAAGCCTTCTTTTGGCGCTGAATGGCAGACCAGAGTTGGCTCGGATGGGAGGGAAATGTTTCCAAGTGAAAATGGATTAAGATTCACTACAGCGTTCTTCAGCATTAATGGTGATGATGCAAACCAAGCAGAGGTGTTGCAGCGACAGGTTAGAAAAGTCAAAGGGTCCAATCAACTATTGATCATCTCATTGTTGATGCCATGTCATGGACTCTCATATTCTTAAAGGACCTTGGAGACCATCCAAGTCAACATTTATCTAATGTCAAATCCCCAGTGTAGTTCCAAACCTTTGTTTAAGCACATCCAAGGGAGAGAACTTAGTTCTTTCTGAAGTAACCCATCACACAGTCACACGGATCCACTTGCTAGAAAGTTCTTCCTTTTACCTTGAAGCTGCTTTCTTTTACTTTCTACCTATTGGTACTTGTCCTGCGCTCTAAGACTCTTGAAATTAAGTTTGTTTTTCATTCAGCCATTTTGAAAATATTAAAAGAGCCCTTTCAATATTGGATAAAGAAGTTGTCATTCAGTGGGTGAATTTAAAAAGGATGGAAGCAGCAACTAGGGGTTTAGGATGAGGCCAGCACTGTTTCATGGCTTAGGTTTTATAATCCATTATTCTTTCCTAGTAACTTTTCTATTTTTAACTTTGCTATGGCTTCACTGATCATCAAAGAAGGACTGTGCAGGCTTCTACAATGGATCAAAGTCATGGTGATATCCCCTGGTCCTAACTCAGTGCCCTTTACTCTGGCAGTTTACCAGCACAGAGGCCTACCTGCTGAGTTCTCTGGGCTAATCTGATGGGGCAGTCGGGGGTGTGGTAACATAGACTAAGTATGGTCTTTGTAGGCAAATTAATGTGCCCCAAATCAGTATGCTGGTCCAGCCACTTCCATGGATCTTGATTTACTTTCCTGCGAAATCTAGCTTTTAATACCCACCTCGAAGGAACATTTTAAGAATTAGATATGCTCATGTGTATGAAGTATTTAGTATCATGCAAAGCACACAAACATTTCTCAGTAAACGTTCTCTTTCGTAATCTTGTCCCCATTGCTGCTTTTGAAATCATGAATATCCAGACATTAAAAGGAACTGCAATATGGTACCATGGAAAGCCCTATGAAATTGTCTTCAATTCTAAGCCCAGGTTGCTAATTTTAACACTAAGATGCCTTAAGCTAGTGATGATCCTTGAGAAAGTCACTTAACTTCTCTGAACCTTAGATATTGAATATATTGAATCAGATGCTTCCCAGGGTTTGGTGTACCTTTAAAAAGCCTGTACCCAAGATACCATCTTTCTAAATTCCCAACACAGCTGTTCAAAGGACATTAGAATTTCCCATATCTTTCATCTCCAAAGTCAACTCCCCAAGAGGCAAATTTTTTTGCCCAGGTTATCTGTTTATATAAGTACCTTCATACACTACTAGTGGGTCTTGATGCATCTTTTGTGATACATTTTACATCTGAAGAATATCTGTGATATGGAGCCTTCTGAAATTCTCAGAGAGCATCATGGAAATCCAGCAACCTTTAATACTTATACAACCCAATTCATCTATGGGAGGAGGGGTTCAAGCATGCACAGGCCTGATAACAGAGCTCAAGAGCTGAGCAGGATGGGGCTGGACTCTGAGGGCAGCTTAAGGTCATGCTTGGGTACATGACATTACTGACACAGTGGCCCTGCCAACTGTCTCTCTGGGAGGGATTGGCCCTGACCCTAGGCATGCAGATGGTAATTTGACAGCTGGGAATTTGTGACCCAGGCACTGTTGGGGGGATAATCAGCCAGTCCTCTGAGTACCCTAAGACAATTCATCACACTCCTCACTGATAAAACTCCAGCACAATGCAACAGCCTTGATGGTAAGTCTCATAGTTTCGCATGAATGCCAGCCGAGCCCATCGTCCATTTTCTTGAAATCAGCGAACATTTGTTGAGGGTCCTCTGTGCTTCATCTGTTATAGAGGACCTGGAAAATAATTCAGACAGCCTCCAGAGCCTGCCTGTGGTTCTGGCCTGGCTCTCCATAGGGAAATGCCTTTTTAAGAACATGTGACCATCCCAACTGTGCCCATCTTAATGGACTGAATTACTGAACTCCTTTAGAGAGCAGAAATCCAGTTTCCTTGTCTGCATAAGTCTGGTCTTTTTTCAGGTGCCATGTTTTCTCCTAGAATTGGGCAGAGGTACAGTCCTTTTGGACTCCACTAACATGACAGCTTCCCTCTCCCAAAGATCTTGCTAGTGCCGGGTCAGATCTAGCTACGTTTGAGGTCCCTGATCAGGGCAACTCATTCATGGGGAGGATATTGGTTCACCATGCTCAGCCGGGCATTTTCTAAGAAACAATGAGAGTGAAACTAAACCAAATCATTTATCTGCCGGAGCTTAGAATGCATGAAGAGGCTGCAGGAAAAGCAGTGGGGTGGGGGAGGTGGGTAGGACAACAGACGGAAGGCAGCATCATAGTATCCAGACAAGAGGAGTAACATGTGAGAGTCCTGTTGCAGACTGTACAATATCACTGATTTGAGAACATGGTTAAGCAAGCCTGACAAAACAGTTCATCAGATTGGAGGTGAATCCCACATCTATTGGATCTCATTAATTCCCAGACCAGCTCAATGTCAACCCAGTCAGTTCAGCCCATCACGTGGCACTTCCGGCTCTCTGCACTTGCGTCTGCTGTCCATCTATTGGCGGCCTCACTGCATTCCCTGAAATAATTTCATGGTTCCTGTCATGCTGGCTAGTGGCTGGCTGCTGGGAATCCTAAAAGCCCTGTAGGTGGTGAGCGAGACAGCAACTGGCGACTCTCACTGACCAAAGGCCTTTCTATTTTTAATTTTTTGAAAATATTCCATGCCAAAGTTTCCTTTCTCTCCCTCCCACCCTTTGTGATATTTTTAGGCCATGCAGGCTTTTCAGAACAAGCATCCAGCTTGCTGGGCACTGCAAACAGCTTTTCCCCTTACCTGACAGTCACCGTGTACTACAGGCATGTGTCGTGTGGAGAGCTGGTCCTTGGACTCCAGGTTTTGCCCCGCTTTGCTTGTGTTCTGCTGGTAGGCTGTCAAGAAATCAAAGACACATCAGCCTCAAAGGGGAGGCCTTGGCCCCACAGCTGCATGCCAGGGTTATCATGAAGGGCCATCCAGATAGGGGAAAGCTGGAGATCAGGGTTCTGAGCAGGGCAAGGAGATCCAGATGAGAGAAGGGGCACTAGGGATCAGGACTGGGACGATGAAAGTGCCCTGGCACCATGCGGTGGACACCACTGCCTTTGGAGAAGCACAGACGCAAGAATGACCTGCAATGCTGGCAGGGGAGACCAAAGGTCCCCCTGACCCAGGATCCCCCCCTTCTGTCAGGGGTGGCTTCAGCCTTTCTATGGAAAGGCAGAGGAGCAGAGCAAGCTCATGAGCTGCCCTCATTTGTACCACCCTCCCCATGCCCCTGCAGGTCCAGAGAGAGGCCTTGTAGCTGCCTAGCCCTCCCTCAAAAATTACAGGAAAAGAATATATGGTAGAATCAACTAAGGAGGTAGAGCTCAAAGCGTGGTCCCCAGACAGGCAGTGGCAGCATCGCCTGGGAACTTGTCAGAAACACAGATTCTTGAGCCTGTCCCAGACCTACCCTGAGTCAGAAACTCTGGGAGCAGGGCCCAAGTACTCCGCCCTCCTGGGGATTCAAGTTTGACAACCACTGTACTAGGAAAAAACTGGTCTATTCTCTTTTAAATTGGTCCTTTTGAAAGGAAAATCAGATCACTCTCTCTCTCTACTCAAAACCTCTTCAAGTTGTCCCATCTCACATAGGCTAACATACAAATCTGTACCTAGACCAGCAAATCCAGCAACACCCTACCTTGGCTCCCTCTAGAATCTCATCTCATACCAGTTTCCCTACCACTGTTGGGCTCCAGCTGCTCTGACCTCCTTGATGGTCCTGAAACCTACCAAGTTACACCCACCTCAGGACCTTTACACATGCTATTCTTTTAGAATATTCTTCCCCTGTGTCTACAGTTTACCCTTCCTGACTTCACATCACATGTATGCTCAAATATCACCTTACCCAAGAGGTCTTCCCTAAACCTCTCTATCTAAAGTCATCCACACATCCCCACTCCATCCAATCCTACCACCTACTTTTCTACCCTCCTACATTATTTTTTTTCTTAGCATTTATCATTACTTGGCATGTTATATACTCATTTGCTTATTATCTGCCCCCTACATATAGACTATAAGCTCCATGTTCCCTAGGATGTAGAATAGTGCTTGGCACATAGTAGTAACATTTTGTTGAATGAATTATCAGGTAAATGAGCAAAGACAAATTCTCTGTCCTACAGGAGAAGGCAAGTATGGGGTCTTCTCTGTCCTAGAAGTTTGAAACTTTCAGGGCATTTACGAGTTCCCTCGAAAATTCTACACATTCTTCCTTGGCCAAGTGCTGAATTGTTTCTCATGATTTCTGATGACCCCCATCCTTTGGTCCCCATCATGGTCTCTTGTAAAGCCTTAACAATATATGAATGTCTGGCTCTACCCCAGGTGCGCCTGATTTGGGAGATCAGTATGTGGACTCTGCATAGTAGACTCTTGGGGGTGGAGTGGCCTGGTAAGGAGGAAACATGGACTCTGGGGCAGGCTCCACACTTTGAATCTTGACCCCATTGTATCTGTAGGACCCCATGCAGGTGACTGTACCACCCTGACTCAGTCTTCCAATCTGCCAAGTCAAGATAATACTTTTACTCCTATTTCACAGGATTGTTGTGATAATTAATGAATATATGTGTGTATATATATATATATATATATATATATATATAAACTCCTTAGAATAATGCCCAGTATGAAATAACCAAGCAGCATTATTGCCTATAGGTATAAGTCTCGTGCGTGATTCTGGTATTTAACCAATTGTGAAAATTGCTGAGATGGACTGTAGACACCAGTAAATGAAAACAAAAGGCACTCCCCATGAGGACTAGGGCAAGCCAGACGTTGGGAAGAAATAAGAAGGCACACGCCTGACTGGTTTCTGAAGGGTGAATAGGACCCAGTGGGACACAGGACAGGCACCATGCTCTCCTACGGGCACTTAGGAAAACTCTACGGCTTCTCCAGAAGAAACTGGCCCCTTCTGAATTACATCCTTGTTGGTGATTTTTACCCAGCTACCCAGTACAAAGGCAGATGAATTGTCTTCTTAAACCAGAGCTGGCGGTAGAAAGATCCATGTGCTGTACTCAGGGCTGCTAAGGCCTAGTGAATACCATGGGGTGCTACCAGGCCCAGCTGTGATGGGGGTGCAGGAGGCAGCAACAGCTCATCCTCCAAGGCTCTGGGATCTCCCACCCTCCTTACAAAACCCTTCCCAACCTGCTCCCTGATGTCAGAAATCTCTTTAGCAGGGGACACACTTTTCTTTCCACAGCAAACGATGCTTGAAATGCAAACACCTCCAGAAGCATCACAGATATCAATCGACAGCACCACATTTGATCAGAAAAGCTTACTCTTTCTGTAGAGGTTTTGACAGAGGAAGGGCACTGTCATGCTGTCTGCCCCCCTGCCTCCCAAAAACCTCTCCTATTTCTCACCCCTATCAAAATCCGGAGAGCTGGGAGACTTAATTCACACACGGAGGTACAATGCAAATGGCACGGTAATGATTTACATTTGTCTAAGTCACTTCTTTACTGGGGCGTGCTTTCATTTAGCTCAAGCAGAACTGGCAGGGCTGGCCCAGTCTTTCATTCTACCTGTGACCCAAATCAAGGCTTTATCTGCCAATGGCCAGTATGAGGTGTGTACACAATTCACTGCTTCCATCAACAATGAGTTATTTTTGCGCCTGCCATGGACCAGGATGTGGTAAGGCCAACATCTTGACAGAAGTTCAGGAACTGACTTCTTTCTGGGTGTATCTCCTTGGAAGGTCACACTTTCATTTTGCTTTACTCAAACTATTTTCCAAGCTCATCTTTTGAAGACTGCCTCCCAAACCCAGACCTAGAATCATGCAGGAAAATCTGTTATATTTTTATTTAAGCTGATGAAAATGTTACCACTTGTCCCTGCTGCTAGCACCTGTCCACCCCTCATCCCTCCTCTTACCTGTCTTTCCCTCCCAGCTCCTTCTCTAAATGCCTGCCTTTCCTGGCCTATTTTTCCAGGGCTGGGGCTGCTCCCTGCCCACTGGCCTGCCTGGCAGCCTCCAGGTTCCTTCTTTATGCCCTTCTGGATCTCCCTAGGCTCTCTGCCCTTCTGCACTCACTGTGCAAGTAGGATTGTAGCCTCTCCTTGGAAAGGGCTGGTCTAAAGGGATGGAGTGAAAGTAATCTCACTGATCACTTTCTTTCTTAGGAGATAGTATGAGATTTCCCCAGAACAATCCTTTTGTGAGGTGAGGCTCTCCACTGAATCCAGCCAGATAACTTTCCCAAGCCTTGCTTTTCTATCTGTCTCTTCCCATTTACCCTAACTGGCTTTTCCTCAAGGCACCGAGAGGACTGGCCAGCCCCAGGCTACGGCTGATCGCCAAGCGGCTTAAGTAAATCCCTGGCATTTTCTGGGACCTGGAAGCAGAGCAACCATGTTGAGCAACCCTCCACAGGGTACTGCTTGTGTTGGTGACGGTGGCCACGGTGTCTTGTGCACTTACAGCAGGATGATCAGAGAGCGGGTACTTCACACAAATGACCGTGTTTAATTTTCTCAGCCTCCCTACAGAATAGATAATATCGTCCTCATTTTACAGGTGAGGAACTGAGGCAAGGGGAAGGGCGGGGGGTTGCCCCAGCTCATACAGTGAGTTGATGCTTTTGGCAGTGACATTATCCTGAATTTTGAGGGATGCTAAAAGGCACACAGTTCAAAATTATCTTTGAATTGTCCTTTCCCCAGAGTGTGTGCACAGGTGCACATGTGCACGTATGTGCACACACGCACACACACACACAGCACACCCCTATTTCACTGCAAGTAATAAGCATAATTAGTAGCACATTAACCCAAAGGACCCATTAGATTCTATAACCAGGGTTATATAACATGGAAGATATAAACCTAAACAGACTCCTAAGGGGATGGTAAGAACCTCTGAGTCTATCCTTGGAAGAAGCTCTGGTATAGCTGAAGCACAGAATCAGGAGTTCAAAACCCTGGGTTGTGGCTCCTGCATGTCTACTTACTAACCCTGTGACTTTGGGAATATTCCTTTGTCTCGCTAAGCCTCAGTTACCTCATCTGTAAAATGGGAATTACGATACCTGCCTTACCTGGCTCATGAGGAGAATCAAATAAGACATTTCTTTATCAATACCCCTGACAAAAGACAAGACAATAAATGATTTTGTGCATTCAAACAATTATGGTTTGGACAGTATGAATTTTACAGTCACTGACTCAAGGATACGGAATTGTAATTTTTAAAATTTTTCTATAAACTGGACTTAAATTCTGTCTGGTGCTCCCACCTGTCTGATGCAGAAAACAGTGTGATCACTAATAGGCTGTCAGACATGTTAGCGATTTCCTTGGTCATCCGGATTGAAACTGAAGCAAACTTAGAATTCCCTGTGTTGTTCCCCCTCCTTCTCCTGGGCTGGCGCTCAGCTTGTGTCTTACCCAAATGCTGTCTGAACATCAGCAGAAAGAGAGGGAAGAGTTCTGTTTTTTTTCCTCTGTCAGTCTCCATCTAAGCCTTTTGGGCTGTGTCTATATGCTCGTTCTTTCCTGTCTGGGTGGTCCATTCTAGGCTGAGATGTCCCCCAGTTTGGTATTCTACCTCCTCCCTCTCTGTCTCTCTCTCTGTCTCATTCAACCTCTCAACCTCTTGAAGTCTCTTGACTTCTTTTAGCCTAGCCACTAAATATGGGTTTATTTCAAGATTCAGTGCTTTTTTCTACAAGGTTTCCCTCTGGCAATTTATCCACCTTCTCGACTCCCCCAATTTTACATCTAAGGTAAAAATACCTGAATCAAATCTCCAGTTTTTTTCCCCCCCAATCCTCATAGAATCATGATGTCAGTGCCTGAAGGAGCCGTTTTCCTG